ATATGTTCTAATAAAAACTCAATCCAAACAACAATAATATATTTTTCTAACAAAGATTTAAAAAATAAATTTTTTATTTTATTTATTTTTATAAGGACTTTGCGCGACGAAGTTAATTGTTCCGTCGCGCAAAGTAGCTTTGCGTGACGAATTATTTTTCGTCGCGCAAAGTTACTTAGAGCGACGAATTTTTCTTCGTCGCGCAAAGTTACTTTGAGCGACGAATTTTTTTTCGTTGCGCAAAATTTGGTCGCGCAAGACTTTGAGCGACGACGTATTGTCGTCGCGCAAAAGTTGGTCGCGCAAAGTCACTTTGAGCGACGAATTATTTTTCGTCGCGCAAAAGTTTGTCGCGCAGGGTTTTTCGCGACGACGTTTTGAGTTTCGCGCGACGAATAATTTTTCGTCGCGCAAAATTTGGTCGCGCAAGGGTTATTTTGTAGTAGTGAATAGAGGTGGAGCCCATCGATACAATGGGGTCCATCTCTATTAGAGAAGTGATACACAATGTGGTATAAAAATGCGATAAGTCTAGCATTTTCCTTTAAGTTAGTATGGTTGAAGCACATTGTTGACATATTTCTCTATATTTTAGCTAATCAGCTCCTTTTAACTATTCCTTCGGAGATGCTCTAATTAAGTAGTTGTTCTATGTAATAAGAAAAAGAAAATTTAGATTAGATTAATCATGAAAATAGATTCAAATGTTAGGGACGATATTAAAACGAATAAACTTTTGGCAAAAAAAAAAAAAAAAAGAAGAAGAAACAAAATTCACAAACTCAAAAGCTCTAACTACAACACATTGAATCACAAATTGAAACAAAGTGCATGCATGTGTGTAAGAATTTTATTTTTTTTTTCCTTGTTTGCAGCCAAGAATTTCTTTTATTTTTTATATTTTCAATAGAGTGGTAGAAAAGGTGTGCTTATAGAATAATACTTTTTTAGGAAAAAAAAAAAAAAAGATAAGGCTAGGTCTTTGTAGAATAAGAAATATTAAAATGGACATAAAACAAATGCATGAAGAAGTAAATAGAATATTAGGATAATTGTTAGTTCACATCTAATAACTTACCCGTTCAGAAATAGGAGTCACAGCCCCAAACATTTTATACAAAATCAATGGAAGCTGGAACGAGTCCACTACCAATGGAGAGTGTATGAAATCATATATTATTGAATTAATGGACTTAGTAATCTCGTAATTAGTCTATGCATAAGATGATTATTGAATTTGTTTTGAATTAATCTTCTATGAGATCATCTTATTGAATGGAGGATACACTAATTTAATATAGGAGTTAGTTATAATGATGGAAGCGTAGGAAGCTAATAACAGTGTTTTATCCCCTCTATATATGAACATTTAACCTCTTCAACTTGTTGCGTGCAAATTAATCAGAAGCAGCTATCTCAACTAGTACATATCCATGGCAGCAGCTAATTCTCATCAACCTGTCTTGGTTTTGTTCACTACTTTTGTTGTTGCAGCTGCTATTGTGTTGGCCCCAACTACGTGCACTGCTCAACTCACTTGTGATTTCTATCAGCAGTCCTGCCCTCAGGCATTGCAAACCATCAGATCAGTTGTCAACGAAGCTATTAATCGGGAGAGGCGCATGGGAGCATCGCTCCTACGCTTGCACTTTCATGACTGCTTTGTCAATGTAGGTTTCATTTTTTGGCTTTGTTCAACATTTTATTTTATTTTTGTTTTTTGTTATTTCTTGTGTACAGACAAAATCATACTTTTCCGTGAGGTAGCACAATATTGTTGTTGATTATGTTGACAGACTGTGAATATGAACCGTTAATCATATGAATACTTATTTGCATGAGTGTTACAAAACCAAACCAAAGGTTGAGTAACTTTAGAGCGTGAAAGGTTGAGGAATAAATCTCACTTTAGAAACTGTACAGTTTTTACCTGACAAGAAAGGAGATAGTTGTTTAACATAGAGCGTTTTTTGAATTATTACATACGTTCAAAAAACTTTAATGAAGATTTTAATACTGAAAACATTGACTATAGTTTCAATTTTTCCATCTTGGTGGCAGGGGTGTGATGGATCGATTTTGCTGGACGACACAGTGAACTTCACAGGTGAGAAGACGGCGGGTGCGAATCTGAACTCTGTTAGAGGTTTTGATGTAATTGATGAAATTAAAGCAACCCTCAATACATATTGCAATGGCAATGTGGTCTCATGTGCTGATATCTTAGCAGTTGCAGCTCGTGACTCGGTTGAGATTGTAAGTGCTAAAAAAAGCCTTCGATGTTTAAATTGTCTAAAAAGGATTTTCCTAGCCATTTTATATTTTGCATGTTATGTTGTTAACTAATAACAAATGAGTGTTGCTAAACGAATTCTAAAATTAACTGAGTACACCATACTACCAAACTATTTATTGAATTACTAATTT